AGGCGAGGCGACGCGAGGCGAGGCGGCGCGCCTCTCCCGATCGGCGCCTCGGGGCTCGATTGCTCCGGACTGAGCTCGCCGCTTTCCTCTGCCATCTCCGCCATCCACGTGTGGATTAGCCGGGTCTGGAAACATGGCCTCTTCGGAGCAGGCTGAGCAACCTGGGCAGGTGAGCCGAGGCTGGAGGAGGGAGAGGCCCGGGGGCGTCCCCGCGTTCCGGGGAGAGGAGGGGGTGCTTAGGGCCTGCGGGGGCTTTCGCCTCGCAGCTCGTCCGTTGCAGAGCGTGGGGATCTCCCGGCTCCATCAGGGAAAGGCAGGTGCTGGGTGCCCTTTGCCCCGCGATGGAGGGAGGAGAAGGTGGGAGGGCGCCCCTTTCTTTTCTCCCCTCCCCTCCCCCGTGTAGGACGTTGGGGGAGGAACCCCTAGAAGTACCCCGGAGATAGGGGAAGCGGAGGCTCTTGCCCCCTAATGGGAGGGGGAAGGGGGATCTTTTTGTACCAGATAAATGAAGACCGTGGTGAGAAATGTGCTCTTCCAACCTCCCCCCCAAGAAAAAAAAGACCACGGAGGATTCCTAAAAGGGGAAGGAGGAGCTGGGTGTTCTGTGACCCACGGTGCATGGGGGGGGGCGGAGGTGTAGAGGAGAAATTAGTTTCTGCCCCTTTTGAAAGGGATTGAGGGTAAGGAATGAGTAGTGGCCTTTGGGGCTGCCTGAAGTAAAGACAGAAAAGAGGGAGGAGAGATACTTTTCTGACATGCCATGAGCCCTCTCTGCCCGCCTCTCCAAAAGGGGAGGAGACGGTGGGCATTATAAATTCCAGCAGAAAAGAAAGAAGGTAGTGGAGGGACTCTCCGGCCGTGGATTGACCTTTCTTTAGTTGGGTGTGATGGAAGTTGTAGTCCTGAGCTCACAGACATTCTGAAGGGCACTAGGATGGCCCACGCAGTCTGTGAATCTGCAATTTCCACTTTCTCCCAGGAAGAGGTGTGACAGGTTTGCCTTGCCCCTGTCCCCAGCATGGGAAGGTTGAGGTCAAAAGTAAGAGTGATATGAAACTCTTGTGAAAAGGAATAACAATCCTGTTTCTTTTTATCATATTTAAATTATTATTCTGAACGCATTCGTATTATTTGAACACAGCCATCGTAATCGGCTGGTTGACATTTGGTCAGCCGCTGTGGCAAACAAGATGCCGTCCGTCACAGCTAGCGTGGCCAGTTGTGAGGGATGCCTAGAAGAGCTGGAGATTCCCCAGCCCTTTCTTATTTTCTTCATCTCATTCATCTTGTAATATTATTTAGTGATGAGGTTGATCCGTAGTACGTCATAGTGGCAAAATCCCTCTGGTACATGTGAATAGCTGCAATATTTGTACATGGCGGCTTATATTTATATTTATTTTGATCTATTTCTGTACGTGTGCGAATAGTCCCACTGTTTGTGTGTGATTTTTCTTATCACCTGATAACACTGAGCAAAGGGCTCATCTTTAAACTCTGCAGAATCACAGTTGTGGGTCTGTGACATGACTGTGACTGATGCAGGAGCCTGATCATCTTCAGTTGAAAATTGATGTGTTTAAGAAGCTGGAAAAGTACCAGAAAATTCTTCTGCAGAAAGCCTGGTTTTCTGTCCTTGTTTTTTTTTTTTAATCCGTTTCTTTAGACACGTCCATAAGCATTTGTCATTTTCTTGCTCTTTCATCTTAACCTGAACTGATTTATATGGCTCAATATCTTCCATAATAGCCAAATGAAGTTCTAATTGGATGAATCATTTAGGCTATGTCTCTGAGGAGTCTGGAAGGTTTTTTTTAAATATCTGTACATTTATGTAAAATTCAATAAAGTCTTTAAAAGGGGAAAAAAGAGGAGCAATTGTGGTTTCTGAGAAGATAATAGATGAGGGCAGCCGAGAAGTTCGGGCTCAATACACAAGCTGAAAAGATGCATAGGCAGACTGTAATCATTGGCCATCTTTCTTTTATCAGTACTCATTACATTACATGCGTCAGAAATGCTTGTGTTAAAAAATGGGGGGAAGGGTGCTTTTTCTATGCATTCTTCACCTCTTTTCTCCTAGACTCTCTTACAACAGGGTTGCACAATTACTGTTGCCCAACGGGACTCCCCAGGCTTTATGCCACATGTCGAGAGCCACTTTCTGAAAGTCAGTGGGACAGGGACCCTTTCAGAAGAGGCTCCAGGAAGTTTCAAGAGGTACCGAAAAAGGCTCCTTAAGCATCTGTAAGCATCAAGCACTTATTTTGCCCCATAAAACCTCCCAAAATTATAAAAATACCAAAAAAAAAAATTGGCAACACCCATTTGCAGGGTCTCTGGGGCCACAAAGGATGCTACAGGCCACACTTTTTGGACCTCTGTTTTAGAAAAACCTGGAGATGTTGCTGCCAAAATTTTCTTTTAAGCACCACAGCTGCCCCCCCCCCCGCCATGCCCTTTCCTCCACCCTTTTTTAATTCACAAACTTCTCGAGTACTGCATAAGGACAGGCATCTGTCTGAATATAAATCAGTAGCTGAGCCATCATCTGAGTCTTTTGAAATTACACTTTAATTTTTTCACCTGCGGACTGCTCGTGAACTCTGGAGGCCAGACATTTCTTAGCATATACAAATACTAACATATTAATTGGATTTGCAACTATCTGTGGGGGCGCAGAGCATCCCTGTTTGCTGTGCTGGTCTATCAGTTGTGCCCCCTTTTAAAAAAACACTGCATTCGGTTGCCCCCCCTCCCTCAGAGTCAGCAGTCTTGTTTTCATAGAGCTTTTTGGGAGGAGGGGGCTTGCGAGTGGATGGTACTTTTCTGGCAACCTAAGGTAGGGTCCGGAGGTAGCCACTGAAGAAGATAAATGGCAGGAGTTAATAAAACTGGTCTGAGATGGGTGGCTATATAAATTGAAAAATAAAATAAAATAAATAAAGCGCGAGCTTAGTCAGAGGAAGGAGGAAGCCTGATAAAGAAACTCAAGGTTGCCCCACCTCCACTCTCTCTGGCATAAGAGGGAGGGAGAGGAAGCGCTGCCAGTCTTTCAGGATTCTTTATATCAATAAAGTAGAGTTCCCGGACTTATTGCAATGGTCTACCTGGCTGACATGTTAACACCAGCATTTAGAGAGGAGTGGGCTTATCGTAGTACATCAAACCATGCATATATTTCTTCTGGAAGAACGTTGCTACCGTTAATGTCACTTGGTGGATCCCACTGGGATGGGAAGTTAGGCCTAATGACTGGCACAGGATAGTCAATACAGGAGTGACAAAGGAAGAGACCAAAGTCAGTGGAGGGAATCCAGTTCAGCCAAAGAAGAGGGTAGGAGAGCAGCAACACCTCCCCTCCCCCCCAAAAAACCCCTCTAAAAAAGCAAAGTGTCTTCCATTTTCCTTGACCGCCTATCTGGGAATTAGAACTATAAACATCATGGTTGAATTGCAGTTTCCATCTTCTCCTTTGAGTATTTGGAATTATTTTGAAATTATTTGGGGCGGGGGCAGAGGGGGAAGCATTTTCTTAACTAGGCTCTTGAAAAGGAGCTAAGACAGGTTTTAATATTTCTCTTCAGCCCTTGTACCACAACTGAAACCTTAATAATCGATGCTGAGGCCTTTTTAATAAACCATTTCATTCTTTCCCTCCCTCCCTCCCTCCTCAGCCCCAGCATTGTTACCGATTGCTTTTTGTATTTGTATGAGAAATTCCTTGAACTGCAAGATATAAAAGGACACTGGTGAAAATCTAATTTGTCCCTGCATTCTGAGGGAAAAACAGTCAAACGTACATGGGTTTATTAGCTCTCTTCAATTTAATTCTCTGCATCCTGTCTGGCCTGGACTTTTTAAAGGGATGTTGTGGAGAAGGAACGGGCCAGAAGTTGGAACCAGGCTACATTATTTCCATTGATGTCTTCATGCTGCTGCTTTTTTTCTTTAAATAAGAAAAGGAAAACCTACCTTTTTTGTTACATTTTAACGAAACAAAGAAATTCCCCCTGGCTTTCGGGGAGTAAATGGGCTATGTTTAGAAGCCAAAACAAATGAAACCTTGTGTTTCCTACAGATGGCTGTAATAATACCACAACAGAAATGTTGCCAACATTTGCCACAAGGAAGCTACCCTTTCACAGAAGGCCATTTGTTCCAGGGGCTTCTGAGTGGCAGAAGCAGAAGGCCAGAACCGAGTGTGTGTGCCCATTTAGGGTTTCATCTAGTAATTCCAAATACTGAAAGGAGAAGATGGAAACTGCAACTCAATCACACTGTTTATAGTTCTAATTCCCAGATTGGAAAATGGAAGATACTTTCCTTTTTTAGGGTTTTTTTTTTTTTTTGCTTGTTTTACTCTCCATTCCAGTTTCAGCTCTGCCTGGTTCATATCTGACATGGATTCATTTTCTTTGTGGTCGTTTGGATAGGAGTTTTACTTTGGCTCTTCTTGCGAGGCTGTTTCCTAGGGCCGTGCAGTAATCCGTATTCAAAGGGATAAAAGAAATTCAGAGCCGCTCTGGGTGCAACATAGATACACTGGTACCTGCTTAATTCAAATGTGTCCTTCCTGGGATCAGCTTCACAAGCCCAGGAAAGGATGTAACTTATTTATGGAGTTGCCAATAAGGGTAAAGTGAGCAAAGATTTTCCTATTGCCTGCTCTCTGGTCTTTTTAAACCAGAGGTTGAACTTGTGACCCTCCCCATGGAAGGGAAGTGCTCTGCTCCTGGTTTACAGTTCCTTTCCACCCACACATTTTCCTCCTTCCTCTTCTCCTTTGGGTTTACGATCTCCTTCCCCTAAATGGCCTTCCTATTTCCCCTTAACAACTCTGGAGTTAACTGTAGTTAGTCTTATTTGGTACCCACTTTCTATTCTCCCTCGTGCCAAACTGCAGTTGGAAGTCACGCCTAGAGTGGGTTTGCAAACAGCAGTCTGAGCTACACAAGTGCATTAAACTAAGCTTAAGTCCAACCAGCACCAATTCTAACAGGTGCAGGTGTAGCATGTAACTCTCTCCATTAGTCCTAATTAAGCAATGAAGCAGGGTTAGGTTTGTACTGTTGTTCATATGCTTGAAATTAAGGGACATTGCCTTATGCCAGGTCACACTGCCCATATATCACAGCATTGCCCGTCCTCAAGGATTGCAGCCCTTCCATTACTGCACCCTTTTAATTGGAGCTTGGTCATAACACATTTGCACTCCCACCAGTTAACAGGCCTTTCTCTTACCTCTGCCGTGCGTGACTGTAAGTGTGCTTCAGGATGACCATTGGGTGGCACTCTAACCTTGCTCTTCCTTTATGCAGATCAGCTCTTCTGGAACTGAGAATGGCGCATCCCGCGACGCCCTGGTGAGTGTGCAGTAAAAGCCTTACCTAGAAGCTCTTTGCTTTCCCTGCCTCCCCATCTTCCTTCCAAGTTCTCTTTGGCATCACTTTGACCATTCCTTCCACGGAACATCTGCAAAGGGACCCATGAGAAGATGCTCCGCAGCGCTGTTTGGTGCTCTCTGAATGACCCCTATGTTTTGAGAACTGCCTTCCCTCCTGTGCTTTGCTGGGGGTCATCCTAACTTTTCCAGCTTCCCCTCTCAGACTAGCCTGTTCCAAGATGTTGCATTTGAAGTGTGGGGTGCCTTCTGATGGTGAAGATTTGTTAGCAAAGATTCTCAGTGGGTTGGTGAAAAGGGAGCTGAATTGAAATAATAAAGCTAGCCTCCTCATTTGGAAACCCTTTGCTCAGTCTTTCGGTTTCTTTGAAAAATGAGGGGGGGGGTTGTGACATCAAATTCCATAAAAATCCCAACACTCTACCAGACAAGATACACTTTGATTTGGAAAAATATATATTAGGCTAGTGTAACTTTCATTATATTTCATTCTTTTTCCCCACTGAAGATTTTTATGTGTGTGCCAATATACTCTCTGTGAAATTCCTGCAAATTGCAGAGGATCCCAGTGTAGTCTCACCAGGACCATGATTGCATTTTGAGGTCCACAGCGCAGCAACACAAAACAATTAGAAAAATCTGGTTTGTTCTGACATCTGAACACAGCATATACAGTATGAATGGAGTGGGAAGAGGAATCTTTTGTGAGAAGAACCAAAAGGGCAGAAGCTCACCTGCCATTTCTAACCTTTCTTCTGTCCTCAAAACCTGCCTTTGCTTTGTGGCCAACAGTTTATCCTCTTCATTCTCCTGACCAGATACAACCAAGTATAACTGCATTTTTTTCCATTCTTTCTCCCCTCCTTCCATTTGCCCTCCTTATATTCTGTTGTTTCATCAATGACGATTTAGGTTGTCAGTTTTGGGGAACAGAGGTTTGTCTCTGTGATCTTTTTAACTTGCTAAAGTGCTTTATTCGGTAGATGGGTTCATCTACCACACTAAGTCATAACATAGTGTGTTGTGTTAACCCAGTTGTGATTCATGGACCATAGTTCACGGCTTTATGGGAATTATGAACCCACTAGGTTGTAGCTGGTTTGAAAAAACACGGCTGATTGCAGTGTGTGAATACAGGTAGAGATGGGCAGTATAAATAATCATTAAAACAAGCAGCTGACCTACCTAAACGAGCACACTTGTCATCTGCTTGTAAGCCAACCATTCTTGGAACGATTGAACCTACAATGTTAACCCTATCTCGGAAATAGCACCCTGGAATCCTCGCTGTTCTTTTTTTGAACCTGCAGATGTTGTTATCACCCCATGTGAGCATTTAGACCAAACTTTCCCATCATGACATTTTGCAGATACGCCAGGAATAGAAGGTCAGCTTGGCTGTTTTCATCAGCCGCAGCCATTGCGTTAAGATGCTAACTTCTAGAGAAATTGGAGGTTGGGGAGGGGTGAGAGCTGGTCTTTGCTCAACAGTCACCTCTCTGTGATTTCAGATAAGTTTTTCCCAGCCTGATCTGGGAAGAATCTGCAGGCTTAAAGTTTCACATCAACATTGCGCATACACCCTCATCAGATAGCTTTGCTGCTTGTTTTTTTTTTTAGACTAGGGGCATTTGGTGCAGATTTAGTCAGATTTCCTGTTGTATCTTCCACCCATTTTCTTTCCTCTGTATCTCCAAGGCCTTCTCTCAGCAGCAATCTTTTTTTTTTAAGTTTATTATGATTATTATTTAAATAAATTAGACCATTTCTTGCTGACACTAATACCTGTGCTTTGAACAGAGAGATTTTCCAAGGAGCCAAGGCCCAGCTTGCTCTTTTTCCCCTCTCCTCCCCTCCCCACCCCTTTGCCCCCCACTCTGTGGGCTGACAGAAATTATCTTCTGTTTAATTAACATCATCTCCCCTGCTCTTTATATACTGCCGCGTAATTGCTCGGAGGAAAGAGAAACGCATAGCAGCTATATATCTATATATAGACATAGATATAAAATAAAAATAATTCGTTGGGAAAAGCAGGGGGGGAGGAACACACCGCAACGCTAAAACTGTGCCCTGAAATAAAACCTGATCTCATGGAGGTGAGACCCCTATGCGTTTGGGGGCCCAGTAGAGCCCGTTGGGAAGGAGTGTATAATTCTGTGGGTGAGGGTTCCTTTCTTGCTTCTGCTTTAATTAATTTTTTTTTTTTGCTTACTCTCCCATCACTTCTTCCTTTTCTGCTTAGGTATCGTCATCCAATCTGTCTACATTGGGCTCTGCAGAGACCTTGAACTAATTGGATCATTTACTTCCCAGCTGTAGCTTGACTTCCTTGCCTTATGCGTTCTGCTGCCCACCACAGTCCCTGCAGGGCAAAGGCTAATCTTGGAATTTAGTTTAGATTTCCGTACTTTGCAGGCCCAGGTAGGGAGCCCTTAAGGCAGCCCTGCAAGGTAGGCTTTTGGTGCTATCATAGACTTCTGAATGAATCCAACAATGTGCCTACTCTGTCTAGTCAATTCTTACAAGCCACCTAAAAGGGTGCTAATTTGCATTTCCATCATTCTGGCTGCAAAGTAGGAAGCATTGTCTTTTGTCACTGTTGAAACAGGCTCAGAGGTGGCCATGGGAGAGATCAGCATCACTAGTCGATCGGAGCCCCACCATTTTTTTTACATGCCGGCAACGCCACATGTGTTAAAAAGAGGCATAGCTTCAGTTGCCCGGTCACACCTGCCATTTTGATGCTGTGCTCCCACACCACCTCCCAGCGCAGGCGCTAGTAAAAAAAAACAGTGTGAACAGTGATAGCATCTATCAAGTGGACTTTCGGAGGAAGGATGAAGTGATTCATTTTTATTGTTCTAGTAAAACATGGTATTTCTATGCTGGTGACAATGAAAGTTGACTTCTGTGGAAGCACAGAGACTGAGGAGGGAGACATTCTTGTTACTCACTTGCGTGGAATTCCTGGTCACCTCTGGTGACTATGTAGACTATTAAGAAATGCAAGGGTGTAGTAAGATATTACCAATATGGCCGAAAACAAGATTGTTCCTCTATTGTTTCCTCCCAGGTATATTTTTGTTACTTTCTAGAAGACTATGGTGTGTTTTGTAAGTAAACCATCCAAACGCATCACAGACCTATTTTCATTGTCTTGGATTAAAAAGAGGGTCTGATGAAGGTAAAAATTTTATACAATTCAATGGATATGGTTTGTTTTATGGCGCCAATAAACCCACTTTTCTCTCATGGTAAAGCTTGCGATAGTACATATAAGGTCCCAGAAATAACCAGGCGATGTCTTACTTTGAGGAACATAAAGGCAATTCATTGTGTATTTTCTGAGACACCTTAAAGCCACAAATCTCAAGGGGTGGTCCACAGACTAGCATTGGCGTATGGAGGTCCACCACACAGTCCCCCTCAGCCTCTCTGCTTTCCCTGGCCAGCCCTGCTCACTGCCTCAGCCTGTGCCTCAAGCAGCGAATTAAAAACTTAATTTGGGGTTACATTTTGCAGCCTAGCCTTGCAGAAATTGGAGAAAAGCTGCCTTAGAGGAAGATTTTTTTCCAGCCACAACTTCTAGCTAGCCTCACATCGCACAACGGGGTTGTTAGCCAAAGGGTATGGCAGTTCCCGGTAGCTCGTGTCTCTTTTTTCTCCTCCTCCTTCCATCTTTGCTTTAAAGGTAAAACATATTCGGGGATAGTAGGACCCTTAATACTAGCTATACATAATAGTCAAAAAGGATTTAAAGAAAAGAGATGTTAAGCACGATTTCTCCCTTGGGTAGCTGAAAGCATCAGTTTAGCCTTCCCCCCTGTCTTTTGCAGACATTGCAGTTATTGAGCTTGTGACGGTGACCATGAGGGCTAGAAACTTAGCCACAACCATTTATTAAATTATCCCCCTGCCCTCCCCCCAGACCACCAAGCCGTAGCTGCAATTTATTGCGAGCCACCCAGTCCCCTTGGAATAACCTCTGCAATCTAAATAATCTCTACTAAAGGAGGCAGTGCCTTTGTCCGCAGCAGGGCCAAATGGACTGAGGCAGGAGGGAATCTGTAATCTATGATTACTATTATTATTATTATTATTTTTAATTTTGGCCTCTCATTTCCCTGCTGTCGGTTTTGGCCCATTAAAATTTGCCTTGTTCCTTCACAATGGGAAGTGTAACCTTGTGTTCACAGGGTGTCAGCATCTCGCTCCAATGCCGTTTACAGCCACGTTTGTCATTGTTGACATGGGATCAGCTTCTCCTTGAGTCCAGATGCTCGATGACACCCTTGCTACACCCCCCCCCTTGGCCACCTCCCCTTCACGGCTCTGCTTTTGTCTGCCCTGGCTTCTGCACTCGCAGACGCCCCAGAACTTGTACAAACGGAAAACACTTCCTTCTCTGTTTTTCATTGCTGGACTTGGGACCCAAGTCCGTACGGCAGAATAAAAGAAGGAAGAAATGTGCGGGGAAATGGAATTTCTTGCTTCCTCATTTACATTCCAGTGGCTGTGTGTTTGTTACCCTGAAATGAAATACAATTTCTGTCCAAGAAACCTGACATTTTGCCACCAGCCTAGCGGCATTATTTCTATAATTCTGAAATGCACATTATTCTTGCTTTGGAGGAACACAGGGACCTACAAGCCAAGCCACTGAAGATAGTAACTGAAAGGGAAAGACTGGTGGTGTCAAGGGTTCGACACTTCTCCTACCACAAATTTTCTATTTCAGATGTTTCTGCCACCCAACCACTGATCAATTCTTTGGTCTCAGCTGGCGCGGTTTTGTAGGAGGAGACAAGTCTGTTAAAATGAGCCTGGGAAGATTTTAGGATGGCCATTCTCAGTTTGTTCCTTCTAAATACATTAAGGTACAACTCCTGTCACCCCTGCTGATCGTTTTGGCTGGGAGGAAGGACATGAAAATTATTATCCTGATCACATAGAAGGCAA